GGTGGAGGGTGGGCCCCACCCCTCCCTCTGGCCTGTACCCCCACAGGATTGGGACCTACAGAGTGGAGTGGACATGAGGCAGACCTCTCACCTTGGCACCTATGAGCTCAAACACGTTCGTCTTCTCTCTTCCCCCCCAGGAAGCTGGGCTGAAGGAGGGAGACTACATCATCTCGGTGAATGGCAAGGACTGCAAGTGGTCCAAGCACGCCGAGGTGGTTCAGCTGCTGAAGAGCACTGGGGAGGAGGGAGTGGAGATCAGTGTGATAACCCTGCAGGGCTCAGAGGGATCGAAAACCGTAAGTCATGTCCCAAGCCTGGGGTGGGAAACTGCAGAGGGAGGTTCCCCAGTGCCTTGCTCCCAGGCTGGAGGTGCGGGGCTGAAGCCAGGCATCGCGTCTGCAGCCCAGGTGCTGCCCCCAGCTTCACGCCCCTCTCCACTCCCCTTCCCAAACAGGCAGACAAGAAGGCAGCGGCGATGTCCTCGGGCAGTGGGATGCTGAAGAGCAACAAGGAGAACAGCCGGAAGAGCCTGATGAACAGCAAGAGCGCCAGCACGCTGCTGGTCTGGAGCAAGAAGAGCAAGCGGAGCAAGAAGAGCACCTACAGCGTCCCCTTCACCGCGGTGGGAGACAACGAGGCCATGTACTGAAGCGGCCACCGGGCCGGGTTGTGTCCCACGAGCTCCGGGGCTGGCTGCCCTTGAACCTTGGCAAGCACCGGTGGCCCGTCCTGGCTGTGCTGGTGTCGGTGCTGCAAGGACCCCCCTGCCCCGGGGACGTGCTGCTGGTCGGATCCTCTCCGAAGAGGCGAGTGACGTGCAGTACCAGACTCCTCCATCTCCCAACTCCTGTGTTAAGTGATCCTCAGCTAAAGAACACGGCGAAACACTGATTTTTATTCTTCATTTTTGCATTTTTATTTTCTTTCGCTCTTAAGGGGTCCTGGGGAGCTGCGCTTCAGTATAAAGCGGGGACTGGTTTGTGTCTTCTGCTCGGTGCAAGAAGCAGCCAAACCAAGCCCCAGCCATTAAAGCAAAAGCTGTAACCTTCTTTAGCATCTCCTAGGCTTTCTCTGCAAGGTAGAAGATGGCACCTCTGCCACCACTCGCCGAGAGCTGCTGGCAGAGCCGAATCGTTCAGCAGCTCCAGCTGGAGGTCACCTTCAACTCCCCTTTTTTTGGGAGAGGGCATAGCGTGGGCATCGATGACTCCTGGTGACCCCATCATGGGGTCCAGCGTAGACCTGCCCAGGCAGCACTGGGCTGTGCATCTCTGCCACGGTACCAGTTAGGGATGTCCCAGTGAAATGGGTTGAAGTTAGGATGGGTTTGACCATTTTTTAGTGCTTTTTTTTTAATGGACACCCAGGTTGGCCCCACCAGTACAGCCCAGCTGCACAGCCTGCTGCTTTGGAAGAAAAGGGAAAGACTTAACATGCATTTGTTGTCTCGATTTTTAATCAGTAGAGGTGGATTGCCCTAAATATGTGAGTAGATTAATAGCTAAGAGCCTTGGTTTTTTTTCTTCTTGGTATGAGATTAAAATTCCAGGAAGATAGCTCCTCCAGATTATTAAACTACTAAATTTGTGCTAGTATTGGATCTTGCACACGTTGCTAATACCCTAACACTGTGCTGTCAGCATTCATACCCGAGCTGGGCTGATGGATACATGCATCTTGGTAATGTACTGGAAATGCTGGGAGACTCCGGATACGCACTTAGATATATTGGCAAAATTTTCTCAATCCCATTTCTGCCTTGTGCATTATTTTTCTGAAGGCTAAAGAGCTGTCTGGTCTTCAGTGCTTGGATGATCTTGGTAGGTATAAAATACCCTTCAGAGATGCAATTGTATTTTTGTACTTTTTAAGTCGTGACGAATTTTTAGTGGTAGTTCGGCGAAGCGAACGCGCGCTGGCAGCGGGATAGCGTCGCGCGAGCATCCCCCCCCGGGGTTGTACCGTGACTTCTTCTAGGTGGCTCAATGCCCACGTGCCAAGCTTTTGGCCCCGGTTTTATTTAAGGAGAACTAGAGGAAGGCTTCTAGCTCTGTTATTGACTGAGACACCTCTCCACAGACTGAGACATCGCCAGACCGGATTACGGGTCCGCCTGCCACCGCGAGGCCATCTGGTGCAGTCAGATTTTCTGTGTAATCTTGCCAGCTGCTTGGCCCGGGAGTGGTGAGGGAAGGGGGTAGGTTCACAGAAAAAGGCCACTTTGCTGTTAAAGCATCCCGGCAACATCTTCCCCCAATCCTAAACGTGTTGCCAACACTGACGTCTCCGAGCTGGAGATGTATTTATTTAGACGAGGGGCACACAAGCGGCGAGCCTGCGCGTCGCGTTGCCACCCGCATCACCCAACTCCTCCTCTGTTGGCGGAGGGGTTGTGTTTTGTGCGAGTTGGATAATTTCCCTAACACCAGCGTTTTTGTCTTGGTTTTGGTGTTTGTTTGTTTGTTTTTTGTTGGGTTTTTTTTTTTAATTTGTACATGGACTCTCACCTTTTATGGATTAAAAAGCACTGATTCAAAACCACTTCGTAGAGCGCGTCTCTGGGTACCCCAGCTGTGGCGGGGGAGTGAGCTCTGGTTGGGTTTTGGGTCATATTTACATAAATCTGGAGTTGTTGAGATTGAGAGAGATCATTTGACACTAGTATGGCCTGATCCAAGGCAAACCAAGGTCCTAAGCGACCACATTAACCCTTTATGAGCAAGTGTCTCCCTCTCCAGCGTGGTGTAATGGGCGCTGGTGGCTTTGTCACATGAATTATTTCATGGAAGTAACGTGGGAGGTGAGGAGAGTGGGGCTCAGGCTCAATCCTGTGGGGGTTTTCTCCTTGGAGAAAAAAAAAAAAAAAAAAGAAAACCATTCAAGAAAATCATCTTTGCTTCGTACAGTGTTTTGATCTGCTGCTTTTGGATTTCCGAAAAAGGGTTCCCAAACGCCTTGCTCTGGGAAGAGCACATCAATGGGAGCGAAGGCACCGCTTGTGCTGGAGGAGCTCATTGGTAGCTGGGAAATAGCAAAGCCTTCACGTGAGACCCCCCGCCCTCATCTATTTTCCCTCAGGAGTCTGCGTTTCCCTGGATCCTGCCCCATCCTGGGAGGATGACATAGCAGGCTGAGCCAGCGCTGAGGGATCTGGGGGAGTTGGGAACGGTCAGGGGGAGGGTCAGGGTTGGGCTGGAGGAGCTGCAAGGGCTTTTCCAACCCAGATGATTCTTTGATGACCAAGGCCATGGCTGTGGGGCTGGACCATGGGTCCTGGCAGCCAGACAAGTCCCTTGCTCAGGCAACGTGCACCCAACAGGAGTGAGAGGACAGAGTAACTCTCCTTCAGAAACACAGAAGTTGGTTTAAACCCCCTTAAATATGATTGAACCCAGGCTAGTGCTTTCAACACTGGGTTAATACATAAAAGGGTGGTGGGGAGCCTCTTTTTTTTTTTTACCAAGCCAGGGTTAAAACAGCATCTTTTTTTTTTTTTTTTTGACATAATTTTGTAATTTTAAGGTGTTTCCCCTTTCATCAAACCTCCCGCGCCAACACCGACCTCAAAGCCCGACCAAGTTTTTTCAGCCGCCCACAGTAAGTTGTTCTGCTGCAGTAGATCCTTTTCCCACCTACGTTCAGTAGATGTGGGAAACTCGTGACTCCTGAGCCAGGATCACCTCCCCCTCTGATGAGACGTTTTCAGATGAGACGTGTGCTCCATCAGCAGGAGCCTGCTGCTCCCTCCCTCTCTGCTGAGGGGTTATGGAGCTGGATCTTTCCATGATTGTCTTCTCCATCTGGACCAGGACATAGAGAGACCCTGCAGGATCTTGCGGGAGGGAGGACACAAAAAAAAAAAAAAAAAAAAAAAAACAGTAAGAAAGAACTTAAGGTCTCTCCAGCCACTGTCCCTGCAGAGAGCCAAGGCCATCTGCAACAATCCTGGCATCCTGGGCTGGGACTAGTTAATGCAGCTCTTAGGAGCACCTTATGACCAGAGGTGAGGTGCAAAGAGAGTTTATTTTTATCCCTTTTTGATGATTTCTAGGGCCACTGAGACAGAAAACAGTGGTGCCCACCATCCTGCAAAACCCCAGCAGGGAGAACCCAGCAAACCCAAAGGGCTTCAACCCCGTTTAGTGCCTTTGAGATTAAATTTTCCTCCTCTCAGAGCTTCATGCTCGATAATAAAAACCTCCCAGCCCATCTATCAGCCTTTGCAGCATGGTGGGAAGGTGTTTTGATTTTCCCCTCCATTAAGTACGCAACAGCTCTCTTAATAGAAGAGGAGAAGGTACCTGCGGTGTCGGAAGCCACGGCCGTTTGCCTGCCTCCTCGCTTCACGGCTTGTTGGCACCGTAACCCATAATGGCTCCTCTGGAGTTGTCGCCAGCTACAAATTAATGCTCCTGCCTGTCCCTGGGGACAACAGAAGCAAAGCAGCTACCGGGCTGATGCCCCCCAGCCCTAATGTGGTTCGGGCACGGCGACGCTGCAGCCGCGCAAGGTGCTCCCGCTGCTTGTTACACTGAATTTGCCATTTTTTTTTTCATGGGATCAGGCCCTTCAGCAGCACCTGGTGCTTCTTTCCAACAGTCCTGGGTCAGAAAGTGGGTCAGTTTGGGTGAAGGATGGGGCAGAGCAGGCTTTCTCCTGCTCCCAAGAGGGAGAATGATGCTGTGTCCGATTAGTCCCTTGTCCGGTGCTCACCCCACCTCACGGAAGGTGCCATCCTCAGCCCCGCGTTCCACCTTAACCCTCCCAAGCACCCCTGTGCTGGCTGTGGAATAGAGTGCCCACAGCCACCCTCCTTTCCAGCCTAAGCCCACTGGAGGGCAGCAGCACCCTGCCCAACGCACCCCCTCCTCGCAGCACCAGCACCCCACACAGCTGCCCAGCGAGGCTGGCACCCCTCGACCCCCGCTGCCACCCGAGAGAGGGGGAGAGGTGTCCCTGGGGTGCTTTGGAGACCAGCCCATCGCAAAGCATGGCATAAAAAGTAGTTTTAAACCATATATCCTGCAAAGCCCTTATGGGGGAAGCGTGCAAGCAATAAAGGCAAGCATTGCAGTGCAGCACCCTCTGGGGCACAGCACCCTGAGTTCGTAGCAAGCTCCATCCATCCTTTAAAGGAAGGGTGAAATTTTGCTGGGAGGACTGGGAGCACCCATCCTGCTCCTACAAGCTGCCCCTTGGGCCCCACTGGGACTGCGTTGGGGACGTGGTCCCGTGGGCTGACCCTAAAAGCTCTGCCAAGGTGCTCGTTGAGATTTGCACGGTCCCCTTTTGGCTCTGGCTCCCCAGCAGCTTGGAGGTGCTAAAACCCTCCTGCGTGGCCTTGCATGGCAACGAACAGCACTGGGAGGCTCATCAGCCACGAGGCCGCCAAAGAGGGGCTGTGCTGGAGGGGTGTGAAGCCACCAGAGCAGCTGAGCCGGGTGGGCCAAGGCTGGGCGTCAGGTCAGGGCACTGGGGGCTGCAGGGCAGAGAGACCAGGAGGTTCAGTAGCTGGTGGAGACGTAAGCTGGCAGCGTTGCACTAGAGGGCAGAGTCGGTACACGCTGAATCCTGCTCCCCACAGCCCAGCCAGCCCTTCGTCACCCCAAGCCACCCCAGCACAGGGTGGGATAGTGCTTGTGTCCCCAGTTGTCACTGACTCCCATGCGTGTAGCTCCATGTGCAGGACTGTGCAAACCGATCTACGCGCTCGCACCCGTCAGCTCTTGCTCTTGCAGTTGCCTCGATGCTGCCCGACAAGTCATCTTGCGTCTGCCCAGTGGGTCAAGTGCTGCTGGAAGAGGAGGGAAGGCCAACTGCCATGGGCAGGGACCTGCCAGGCACCTGCCTGTCCCCAGGGTCCATCATCCTTCAGCTACTTACTGCCAGGACAAAAGCGGTGGCCTTTGTACCCACTCCCATCCCTGAGTGGCCCCTGGGGAGTGCCCAACCACCTTCTCATGCGCAGGAGTTGCTCCCCGTGTGGGAGCAAGTCAGACCTGGCTTAGGGTGGACCTGGTCTGGCTACATCTTTGATCCCTTGTGCTCT